ACTACTACTACTACTAACAATAATAATGTAGTTTTTTTATTTTGTATTAAATATAACAATATGTAAACAATACTTGCAGCAGTTACATGAATTTGTCCTACCATAATTTAAAATCCAAAAGACAATTTTGTATCCTATGGGAGCTTGTTTAATAAAATAAAATAAAATAAAATATAAAATAAAAAAAATGTGTTTTAAATTTGAAATTACTTCCCAAATCGGAATGGCACTCAACCCTACTCAGAACGCGACATGCTTCCCCTTCTCTCAGCCTCATTCTCCTCATCTTTCCGCTGCCAAGATCTCTCCTCCTCCTGCTAATTCTTGGACACTGACACAACATCTCTGCTAATTGTGGCGGTTGCTCAGCAGGGCTGTTGAGACTGAAGCAAGGGTTGACGTAGGAAGGAATCATAACCCCTAAGGCCTAATTAACTCTGTTGGTTCCCCAATTAATCCATTAAGTTGTTTTGGCTCGGCTGCAAGGCCTCAGGCAGAATTTTATATACCAATACACCGCTGCATTAGACGCTAAGATGTTTGCAAAGGGAGCAAGATGAACCGCATGACATAGCATGTGATTTTCAGATCATTTCTGTGATTTCTTATTATGATGTTGTAATTGTTTTAGGTTCATGTTCTATGGTTACCTCGGTCGCTATTTAATAAGGTCTCTAAAATTCGGAGCCATAATGATCTTGATTTTAATGATTTTAATTAGGGGCAATTATCAAAGACAGAGGCATGCTGCATGCAATTCTAATTTATAAATTATATATAAAATGTTTTATTATGAGCATTTAGATGAGATCATGAAATGGGAAACACTATGGAATCAGAGAACGAATGAATCCAACATGCCTCTATATTAAAACTGTTTCATTGCACAAATTTCGGATTGCTTGTTATTGCATATTCATTTGATTTGGCAGAATCGAAACGTTATTGTTATGCTACCTGATGTTTTGGCAGGATCCACCGCATCCAGTGCAATCAGTACGAAGCCAAACTGAGATAAAGGAGGAATCAGATTTTCTTTGATGTTTTTAAATAAAAATCTGTATGAAAAAATGCTGTTTTCCAAATAACCAACCGAGAGTAAGCGGCAAAGACAGCTTGATCTCATGTATATTATGTGTTTTCAGAGATCAGAAACCTTAAACATTATCATTTTTTGCTTTGTGGATCTGTCACTTTGTCCAGGCTTTGCACATTATTTTCATTATTATTTTTGAATAATGGAGGAACAGCAACTTGGATCCAACTTGGAGTTCAGAAAAGTTTGTTGCTCGTTTTACATGCGAAGAAGCAATTTACATTGGGATTTTAAAGGCACAGCATGAAAACAGCCCATTTGATTCAAAGGGTCAGAGATGAACAGCCATGGAAAAATAATTATGGGTTTTTGGCACAAAAGCAAACAAACAAAACTATATTTTTTTTTTTTTTTTTTTCCTGCAATGGCTTAGATGACTTTGCAGAGGATCATTTGGACCAAGCAACTAATTAAAAATATTTAATGCAAAATGTCAAATACACAAATAATCAAATAAATAAAGTTTATATGCATTGCAAATATATTTTGAATATTTAAAAATAGTGCCCAGCGTACGTTTTCTGACCTCTAAACACTTTTTAAAATAGAAAACCCAGCAGCTGAAGTAAATGACTTCAGTCGAGTCCATTTGTCATCTGCAATTAGTATTTAGAAATGTCAGCACGTAAATGTCCATTCCTGCTTCGAGTTATTTTTATTATTATTATTGTTTTTTTTCAGTCATGATTGGCTTTCAAAGTCACTGATGCAAGAAAAATGGTGGCCATTAAATGGTTGACAGCCTCTAATTTTGGAAAGGATTCCATTAGAGGTATTTGTGTGTTGATGCTGGAATCAAATGTAGAGTGAATGCTGCATGTGCCCTTCTGCCTACAGTTTATTGCATTTTGACAGCAACATGCAATATACTGTATGAACAGCTTTTTGAGGTCCTGTGGAACATGCATCTGTGCTTAAACTACTATTACAATTGGTTTAATATTTTTTAAATGCTTTTAAAAGAAGTCTCTTATGTTCACCAAGTCTGTGTTTATTTGACTAGTAAATACAGTAAAATTAATACAATTTTGACATATTATTGTAACCTAAAATAACTTTTCTATTTGGATATATTTTAAAATATAATTTATTGCTGTTATGTGAATTTTCAGCATCATTACTCCAGTCTTCAGTGTCAAATGATCCTTCAGAAATCATTCTAATATGATGAGTTGCTCAATGTTGGAAACAGTTGGAAACCGTGATACATCAGCAGGAAAAGAACAAAAACAAAATACCATAGTCAACGCAATGACATAAATGGTGTACAACAGTTCATTTGAAATAAACCATTCAACCTAAGTAGCAAATCAAACTGAACTGAACATAAAAACATCAGTCTGAATCCTGGGCTGAATCATTGAGAGCTCACTGAATCAATTCGGATTTGACTCACTGAACCACAGAGTCAAAACTGGTCCTAAAATTGTCCTGCCTAGAGTTTATTGCATTTTGACAGCAACATGCAATATACTGTATGAACAGCTTTTTGAGGTCCTATTGAACATGCATCTGTGCTTCAACTAAACATAAGTCTGAATCCTGGGCTGAATCATTGAGAGCTCACTGAATCAATTTGGATTTGACTCACTGAACCACAGAGTCAAAACTGGTACTACAATTGTCCTGCCTACAGTTTATTGCATTTTGACAGCAACATGCAATATACTGTATGAACAGCTTTTTGAGGTCCTATGGAACATGCATCTGTGCTTCAACTAAACATCAGTCTGAATCCTGGGCTGAATCATTGAGAGCTCACTGAATCAATTCGGATTTGACTCACTGAACCACAGAGTCAAAACTGGTCCTAAAATTTCACATTTTTATTTTTAGTGAAACTTAAAACAGTCTAATTACAGGTTAATTACGTTTTGTAGTAGTGCCTTGTATTATAATGTAGTAAACATCATAATATGTTGGGAAAAAAAGTAGTATTGCGTAGGAAGCGCTGACTGAGAATTCTCTATTAATTCATATGGAACAAGTGTTTGTGTGCTTCGGAAACAACAGAATGATGCTGTTCCTACATCAGCTATTTCCTGTTTGTTTTCTTGCCCTCCAGTGCTTGAAAATGAGTATAATTGCAATGCATAGAGCAATATGCTGAGTCTCTCTGTCGCAGCACAGACACATGGCAACACGCAGGCGGTGGGATCGTGTCACACACTGCGGCTTTGAGGGGAATTTGCCGGCTGCTTGGCAACCAAACAAATGGAGAAAACGGTCTGGGCAATTTTTATTTTCCAGATGATTAGGTCCAACAGAAATTACGGTTGCTAAGATCATTGACCATAAAATTAATTATTAAGGCGGGAATCAATTGTATTTCTTAGCCGCAAAACGGATCAATTTTTTAATGTTTGTTTGTGATTACCTGACGCTAGAGGTGAGGAGCCGTTGATGACCTGTAATCGGTCTGTTATTTATTGGACGTTCAGGAGCTCATTCGTGTCAAGGAGGACACAATCTGTCACCGCGGGAAGTCTGCTTACTTCCCCAGCAATCAGCGGATGGCCGGTCAGACCATGTCGTTTGGCTCATGTCGGGGTAATAACACCCACGCGCCGTTTCAGAGATAATAGTAAAGTGTGTGGGTATTTACCTTGTCCTTGAAGATAGACGCTGGTTGTCCTTGGAGACGGCGGCGGTACGTTAGTAATGACGTCTGCTCAGTCATCAGCCGCATTTACACCGTCAACCACTTCACGTGTTTTTACAGACACCTGACACAGATTGAATCTTGCTGCATATGTGTAAGCGAAGAAAGCTCTGAGATTTGGGCTGCTTTCAAATGTGGGTCTAAATGCAATGAGTATTTACTATTTATTATATAAAATCGAGTTACTTGTATGTCCTCTCATTGATCAACTGATGTTATTGAATGCATGGGACTTCCTACATTTGAATTGCATATGGAGTGTATGCAGAAAATGAATATTTATTTATTTACTTACCATGCTCTTATATTGCATGATTGTTCTTCTAAATCAGCGTCGGAAATGTGGGGAAGGATCATAGGTTTGAGCTACAGTAGAAGTGAATTTAAACTGACACCAATAGATAAATGACTATGAATCCTTTGCTGATATATGTGTAGAAACCACACACGAGTGGGATTTCAATTTCATAAAAAATACGAAATTAATAAAATAAATAAACACATACAAAATAAACAGTAGTTTATTGATATGCATACATATTTTTCAATTCATATAATTAATTGCTAAATTGGAATATTTATTGTATACTAATATGTATATTAGTTTTATTAGTTAAATGTATTATTTTTATTAAATATAAAATAAATTGATACTAGATGATTCATGGGATAAACAAGTAAACAATACACATTATTGCTAAATATTCACATTTATAATTCTGTACTTCAACTACATTCAACTATTGATGATATTTGATTAAATACGAGCACTATATGAAGAGTTCAGATGCAAATGCCAAAAATGTGAAATTTTCTTCTAAAATGAGAATTTTTATCAGGCTCCTATGTGTTGTGTGAATAGGTTCTATACCATTGCCATTTATGAAATAACTGAACATAAACATATGAGTCTGATAAAATGGCACTTTTTCACTCTTCATATATCCATTTCACTAAATATTGTTGATTTTCCTTCAAAATCAGTATTAAAACATGTAGGGGAAAAATCCACAGATGGGCAATAAGTGAATTTATACACAAACAGACTGTAAAAAATATCTGTGAAAGTAGCCATAATAACATTGATAAGGTCTGACACACCATCATCGCTGCATCTTGTGTTGGCAGAATAAACTACACTGCATATATTGCACATGTTCTTATAGTGTTTCCCAGTTATCAGCTCACATAATAATCACCCGAGCATGAAGTCCTCTGCTTCTCCTGACTTCCAAAGCGAAGTGCAGTTCCTCTAACCGCATCTCAGTGGATTGGCTTGTTTTGCGTGAATGCATCGTTGCTGTAGGGCCGCGCATACATATTCATGTATCGTCTCCTGCACGTGGGGTCTCTTCACGGCACGCGGGTGCTCGGGCAGCCCTGTGACAAATTTCCACTTCATCATCGCGGCTCCCAGAGACGGCCGTCTGCGCATGAACTCCACTGCCTGCATAAGTCAAGTGATGTTATTTTTTCCACCTGCTCCTGTAAAGGACCCGTCGCCCATATGATGGGAGGAGATGCTGTTGTGACGGAATATTTGAATTCTGAATAATTCATTCAGTTCTGAATTGATGGCACTCCATTCAGAGATCAGCTCTTAAATGCAATTTGGGAGTAAAGACTGGGAAGGTTCACAGGTGCAAATTAGTTTTTACAGAATGCATGCAGTCACATGAATTTTGCTATACAGTTTTTTTTTATAGCAAATAAATATATATTTGTGCATAAGTGGGACTTTTAATCCACTTGCATTCTGTAGGGGTGTGAATCGGCACTGGCTTCACGATTCAAATCGATTGCGATTATAATTTTAATGATTCAATTCAATTCAATATCACGATGCATCACGATTATATCTAATTTATTTTGTGCATTTTTATTAAATTATATAAGCAGACTTCCTTTTAAAATAATTATGCTAATTAATTAATTATTAATATTATTCATATTATATTAATTAATCTAATTATTTTAGTAATAATTTTTGCTTTGAATCAAATGTTTTAATATTGTGATCTGTGAGTTGGTTGTTTTGGCTCATATTTTTTATTAGCGTCTTTAGCACCAAGCTATGTAATAAGTATGTATTAATATATATATATATATATATATTAAAGATCTATACAGTTACTGTGATGTATTGTAAAATTATTCGCACTGAAAAATCTCGGTCGTGCCGCACACCCGTAAGACCAGATAAATGTAGGGAAAAGGGATGTGAGCGAGTAACTAACGTTGGCTGTGACTGTCTATCCAAATGGGATTATGTTCAATCCCTGTGATTATAGCTCTGGAAAGGTGCACTTGCCTGCGGAAAGATAGTGGGATGCAGATTACACTTATTATATGTGCACAGAGATGTCCGCGGGCGCTCTAACGTGTTCACATGTGCCGATTTGCAAAGAGCTGCTCGGACACAATCCATCCATACTAATGACTCGTTCCGTTTTACCTCCCTAATAGGCTGGCAGATGTGCGAATGGCCCCCTCCCCACTCTATCTGATGCTGGAAGCGAGGAGGAAACTGGGTAGATGGCCAGGAAAAGCAGTAGTTTGTCAATGCTAATCCTATACAACGCTCCATGTGACGGGTTGCAAATGTTCGACTGCCAATAGCGATATAATTCGATATAAATCTCGGGCTCGTCAGGTTGCCACGGCTGCTCGGGTTCCCCGCGTTGCCATCGGCCCTGTGCGCGAGCCACCGAATTAGGGTGAGAGACACGATCCTGCTTTTCTGTAAGCAAATAGGTTTAGCACCTGGCAACACTCACTGAACACTACATTATCCCCTCATCGCTAGGGGAGACGGGCGCCTCTCTGTCTGTCCTCGCCTTCTCTTGTGCGACATGTCTTTTTTTAGCTCTCATAATCTCGGGCCGTCTGGGTCTGATGTGCGGTCCTAATTCGGGACGCTGGCCGGAGCGAGTGCAGTGACATTTGGTGGAAGTGTCGTCCCAGGTGTCAGGATCCATTTTCCTCATGTTGCCTCTCTTTTCCTTCCTGTGCATCTCGCTCTCGCTCTCTCAACCTCTTCACAAATTCAGTCCGTTTCCATTAGACAGCCATCTGCCTGGCCTTTTCAGGTGCTGCTGTTTTGGTTAATATATATATATATATATATATTAAAGATCTATACAGTTACTGTGATGTATTGTAAAATTATTCGCACTGAAAAATCTCGGTCGTGCCGCACACCCGTAAGACCAGATAAATGTAGGGAAAAGGGATGTGAGCGAGTAACTAACGTTGGCTGTGACTGTCTATCCAAATGGGATTATGTTCAATCCCTGTGATTATAGCTCTGGAAAGGTGCACTTGCCTGCGGAAAGATAGTGGGATGCAGATTACACTTATTATATGTGCACAGAGATGTCCGCGGGCGCTCTAACATGTTCACATGTGCCGATTTGCAAAGAGCTGCTCGGACACAATCCATCCATACTAATGACTCGTTCCGTTTTACCTCCCTAATAGGCTGGCAGATGTGCGAATGGCCCCCTCCCCACTCTATCTGATGCTGGAAGCGAGGAGGAAACTGGGTAGATGGCCAGGAAAAGCAGTAGTTTGTCAATGCTAATCCTATACAACGCTCCATGTGACGGGTTGCAAATGTTCGACTGCCAATAGCGATATAATTCGATATAAATCTCGGGCTCGTCAGGTTGCCACGGCTGCTCGGGTTCCCCGCGTTGCCATCGGCCCTGTGCGCGAGCCACCGAATTAGGGTGAGAGACACGATCCTGCTTTTCTGTAAGCAAATAGGTTTAGCACCTGGCAACACTCACTGAACACTACATTATCCCCTCATCGCTAGGGGAGACTGGCGCTTCGTGAAAACACGCCTCTCTGTCTGTCCTCGCCTTCTCTTGTGCGACAAGTGGTTTTGTCATTCTCTCCTTTTTTTCTCTCGTAATCTCAGGCTGTCTGAGTCTGATGTGCGGTCCTGATTCGGGACGCTGGCCGGAGCGAGTGCAGTGACATTTGGTGGAAGTGTCGTCCCAGGTGTCAGGATCCATTTTCCTCATGTTGCCTCTCTTTTCCTTCCTGTGCATCTCGCTCTCGCTCTCTCAACCTCTTCACAAATTCAGTCCGTTTCCATTAGACAGCCATCTGCCTGGCCTTTTCAGGTGCTGCTGTTTTGGAGGGGTGGAGTTGGCCAGGTCAGGGCATGTTCTCATGACGGGCCTAACTGAGGGCCTGATCCACAGTTAAACGTGGGCTGCGTCGCTGTTTAGTCCTTACAGCGCAACGCTTGCATCCGGAAATAAATACTGACATTTTTCAATAAATAAATAAAATAAATAATAATAAAATAAAAATAAATATTTAAAATAAAAATAATAAATAAAAATAAAAATTTTCAGACAGACCTACCAGTTCTAAGATGAATCGATAGTGATTTATGCTTGTGTAGAAGAAACCACACACGAGTGGGATTTAAACTTCTTAAAATAAATCTACTTCACAAAAATAGTTTATTGCTACATATTTCAATTTATTTATTTATTTATTTATTTATTTTATTTTTTATTTTTTTATAATTTG